AAAGAATAAAAAGAAAATGGCGGATGAATGAGAACTTCCCAGACAAGCTGTAATAGTTTTTGCCTGGTCATCAAACAAACATGCAGTCTTGCATTATCCTGATGGAAGATTATGCGTTTTCTGTAATTCTGGATGTTTTCCGTCTAGTGCTGCTTCCAGTTGGTCTAACTGGGAGCAGTACTTTTTGGAATTAATCGTTTGGTTTTCCGGAAGGAGCTCATAATAGAGGACTCCCTTCCAATCCCACCATATATACAACTTCACCTTCTTTGGATGAAGACCGACCTTTGGTGTGGTTGGTGGTGGATCATTTTCCTTGCCCCATGATCTCTTCTGTTCCACATTATTGTACAGTATCTACTTTTCATCAACCGTCACAATTTGTTTTAAAAACGTAACATTTTCGTTACGCTTAAGTAGAGACTCGCATGCGGAAATACGGTCAAGGTTTTTTTCGCTTAACTTATGTGGAAACCAAACATCAAAGCGATTAACATAACCAAGCTAGTGCAAATGATTTTCAACTCTTGATTTGGATATTCTGAGTATGTCGGCTATCTCCCGTGTGGTGTAACGTTGATTGTTCTCAATTAATGTCTCGATTTGATCGCTATCAACTTCAACTAGTCTACCCGACCGTGTAGCATCATCCAGTGAGAAATCTCCAGCATGAAACTTGGCAAACCACTTTTGACACATTCAGTCACAGCACCTTCTCCTCTCCATACACTGCACAAATCTTTTTTTGTGTTTTAGTTGCGTTTTTACCTCTCTTGAATTAATAAAGCATAATATGCCGAAAATGTTGCTTTTTTTCTTCCATCTTCAATATTAAAATGGCTACACAAAAATTCACCAATTTTGATAAGTTTTTTAAAAAATGCATGCTGATATGACAGCTGTCACAATGCAATCTAACAAAATTCAAAAACAAAACTTTGAATGAAGTTAAAGACAACTAAGAGATACTAGCGCCATCTTATAGAAACAACCGAACTCTTTGGCCAACCCAATATTTCTATATATCAGCAATGAACACACCGACAACAAAATTTTAGATGCAATACCACTTACACTTGTGCAAAATAAAAATTAAATACTTAGGTGTACGTCTAACAAAATATGTAGAACACATATGCAGAAAACTACAAAACACTGATGAAATAAATCAAAGGCTTAAATAAATGAAAAGAGACTGTGTTCATGGACTGGAAGATTCAATGTTGTTAACATATCAATTCTTCACAAACTGAAATGCAGATTTAACCTAATTCCTATTAAAATACCAAGAACATTTTCTGTAATATAGACAATACTACTCTAAAATCTATATGGAGGGACTTCCCTGGTGGTGCAGAGGTTGGGATTCCACGGTCCCAGTGCAGGGGGTCTGGGTTCAGTCCCTGGTTGGGGAACTAGATCCCACATTCATGCCGCAACCGAGAGTTCACATGCCAGAGCTAAGGAGACGGCGTGCGCAACTAAGGAGCCCTGGAGCTACAACTAAGGAGCCAGCAAGCTGGAACTAAGGAGCCCGTGAGCCGCAACTGAGACCCGGAACAACCAATTAATTAATTAACTATTAAAAAATAAAATAAAATCTATATGGAAAGGCAAAGGAATTAGAATAGCTAAAATACTTTATAAAAAGGAAAATAAGGACTTCTCTGGAAGTCCAGTGGTTGATACTTCGCCTTTCAATGCAGGGGGTGTGGGTTCGATCCCTGGTTAGCGAGCTAAGATCCCACATGCCTCACAGCCAAAAACACAAAACACAAAACAGAAGCAATATTGTAACAAATTAAATAAAGACTTTCAAAAAATGGCCCACATCAAAAAAATCATTAAAAAGTTTTTTAAAAAAGAAGAAGAAAGTGGGAAGAATCAGCCTACCCAATTTCAAGGTGTATTACATAGCTTCAGTAATCAAGACTGTGTGGTATTGGAGGATGTACGAATACACGGAACAATGGAACAGACTAGAAAACCCGGAAATTGACCCAAACAAATACACTGAAATGAATTTTCACAAAGGTGCAAAAACAATGATGGAGAAAGTATAGCCCTTTAAACAAATGGTGCTGAAGCAAATGGACATTCATAGGGAAGGGAACAAAATCCTCTACCTAAACATGACACTTTATACAAAAAAATACCTCAAAATGCATTAAATAAAAAATGGAAAATTATAAAACCTTTACCAAGAAATAAAAACATAGGTATAAGTCTTTTTTAGTTCTGAGATTAGACAAAGAGTTCTTAGGCTTGACATCAAAAGCAGTGTATGTGAGGGACTTCCCTGGTGGCGCAGTGGTTAAGAATAGACCTGACAATGCAGGGGACATGGGTTTGATCCCTGGTCCGGAAAGATCCCACATGCTGCGGAGCAATTAAGCCCACAACTACTGAGCCTGCGCTCTAGAGCCTGTGAACCACAACTACTGAAGCCCACGTGCCTAAAGCCCGTGCTCCGCAACAAGAGAAGCCACTGCAATGAGAAGCCCGCACACCGCAATGACGAGTAGCCCTCGCACCGCAATGAAGAGTAGCCCTCGCTCACCACAACTAGAGAAAGCCCGCATGCAGCAACGAAGACCCAAGGCAGCCAAAAATTAATTAGTTAATTAATTTTCTAAAAAATCACTATATATGAAAAGAAAACTTGATAAATTGGACCTCACCAAAATTTAAAACTTTTGTTTTCCAAAAGATTCTAAGAAGTTAAAAGACAAGCTGCAAACTGAGAGAAATACTTGGAAACCACATATCTGACAAAGGTCTAGTATCTAGAATATATAAAGAAATCCCAAAACATAACATTGAAAAACAAAACAAAACAAAAACACACCAAACAATTCAACTAGAAAATGAGCAAAAGAAATGAACAGATATTTCACCAAAATGGATATACAGATGGCAAAGTACATGAAAAAAATGTTCAACATTATTAGCCATTAAGGAAGTGGAAATTAAAACCACAATGAGATATCACCACATGTCTATCTGAATAGCTAAAATTAAACATAGTAGTAACACCAAATGCTGGCTAGGATGCAGAGAAACTGGATCATTCATATATTACTGGTGGGAAGGTAAAATGTTATAGCCACTCTGGAAAACAGTTTGACAGTTTCTTGAAAAACTAAACATGCAATTACCATAGGGCAGTTGCACGGAGCAATTGCACTCCTAGGCATTTATCCCAGAGAAATGAAAACTTATGTTCACACAAAAATTTTACAGAAGTTTCCATAGCAACTTTATCTGTAATAGACAAAAAGCTGAGGCAACCCAGATATTCTTCAATATCTATCTTCTACCAGTTAAACAAACTGGTACATCCATACCATAGCAGTAAAAAGGAACAAACTATTGATACACACAACTTGGATCTCCAGAAAATTATGTTGAGTAAAAAAAAAGCCAGTCCCAAAAGTTTATATACTGTATACTTCCATTTATATCAAATTCTTGAAATGACAAGATCCTAAAAATGGAGAATAGATTAGTAGTTGCTAGGAGTTAAACAGGGAGTGGGGGAGCTGGAGTGAAGTGGGTGTGGCTACAAAAGTGCAACATGAATGATCTTCAAGGTGATGGAAGTGTTGTCTTGACTGTATTTGTCAATATACTGGTTGTGATACTGTACTACAGTTCTGCAAAATGTTATTGTTAGGGGAAACGGGGTAAAAGATACACAGTATCTCTGTGCTGTTTTTTACGATTATGTATGAATCTACAATTACCTCAAAAAAAAAAAAAAAAAGCCTTTGCCTCAGATGGGTCAACTGTCCTTCCATACACTCGGCTAGTCTGGATCATCCATTTAGCTCAAACTGCTCACTCTAGCTCCTTCCTCTCAACAGATACCACCACCACCAAACATTTACTGGGCATTTGTTATGTGACAAAGAACTTTATGTACTAACTTCATGCGCTAAGAACTTTACATGTACTAACTCATTTAATCCTCATAACAAATAACTTTGAATTCTGTTTTTCATGGGACGTAGCAGCCTCAGACACCACTCTACTTCATCCTCATCCATCCACTCCTTTTTTTCCCCTTCCTTTGATAATGAAAAGAAGGGTCCATTCCCCAGATTAAGGGCAATCCTTTCACTTAAGCACTGGATCATTCCTTCTCAGGATCCTAACTCCATCCAATATCCTCTTTCTTGCGTTTTGAACCCCTGCCTTTCAACTACCTCTATTCTGTCTGAATTTAGGTATGTTCACAAATCCTTCTATCAGTTAAAAGATAAATAAAAAATTTCCCCCAACCTTACTAAGCATCAGCCATTCTGACTCCTCTTAGCCACTTTTCTTAAGAATTGTTCCCATTTACTCTTTCTAATTCCTTAACTTCCATTTAGTTAACTTCCATTTAGTTCTCCAGCCGCGACAACTCAGCTTCTGCTCCTACTCTATGAAAGCTTCTAACTTCTTTCCAGCATTTGACACCACTTCCCATTCCTTAATCTAAACTCTCTCTTGCTTGGGCTTCTCGGACATCACCAAGCTGTAAGAGCTGAGGTAAGTGACACAGTTGACCTAAAAAGAGGGAAACAAAGTAGGGCATGCGAATGGCAAAGAAAGCAAAGGTGAGTGGAGGTTGCTACTCTTTGAGAGGGAGCTTAGGAGACAGGAGGCAGAAAGGACCACAGTGGGCATTAAAACAAATCGACCGTGACTTTCACCCTCACCTTCACCCTCTTTCTCCCCACTTCCTTCAAGGACCTGACGGTACTCAAGGAAACACTAGACGGTAGTGGCCACGCGACAGGTGGCAGGGGCCGGCCCCTGCGGGGCGAGAAAGACGGGCTTTCCTGCGGGTGCCGACCGCACCGCCGTGGAGGCGAAGGTAGCGCTCGGCTGCCATCGGAACCCGTGCGCGGGCCCGCGGTTGCAGCTCGGCGTGGGGCCGCTAGATGGCGGACGCTTGTGCGCGTGCGTGACGGCGCTTCCGGTCCCGGGCGAGGCGAGAGCAGCCTGTGGAAGGGCGGAAACGCGGTGTGAGGATCTCTCGGCGACTCCACTCCAGTATCGGCGCGGGGTACCCTGGAGGCGGACCGAAGGCTGGTCTAGGACTCTGCCCACCGCTGGCCCGGGGAGGAGAGCGAGAACCGCCTGAGTCGGGTGTACCTTTCGCGCCCTGCGTTCCCAGCCTGGCCCTCAGCCCGCGGCCCTGAAAAAGGGGCGGGGGATCGGAGTTGGCGGGGAGATCCAGGTGAAGTAGGTTTCTCTGCAGATCCAGCGCCGTTAAACCCTGCGAACGCACACTTTTTAAAACATGAAGAAATTAAGGCTTAAGGAACTAGAGAGTCGCCTGCAACAAGTGGATGGATTCGAAAAGCCCAAGCTCCTTCTAGAACAGTATCCAACCAGGCCGCACATTGCAGGTAGGGCGGCAGCTGACCATGCCCTTGTCTCGCAGGTTAGTCCTGTCTACCCACTCCATTGTGAAAATAGAACAGTTATTTGGATACAGAGAAAGTCTAGAGGAATTCTGCTCTAAGATTTCATGTTGCGTTAGAGAGGACTTCCTTGACATTGCACCTGAAAACATCCCAAGCACGAGACTCTCTATCGTTTTACTGTTTGTTTTTCTGCATACCCCTCAACACTGTCAGACACTTTTTAATGTGTTTGTTAATCTTATTACACTATTAACTCCTTGAGGACAAAAATGTGCTGGTCTTGTTCACACAATTCCCAGAGCCTAGAAGAGTTCCTGGTACCACTCAGGAGCTCAGTAAATACTTGCTAAATAAGGATCCATTTCCCGGTGTAACGAATTGCCAGTACGAGGATTCCTACGCGTTATACTCTGCCCTGGAAATGAATTACTAGAGCTGGTAGTGGAAGGACTGAGTTTTAACAAATCCATAATAGGTGCTATATTAAAGATGAGGATGCATTTCAATTTTAACAAATGATCAGAGAATCAACAGTGTTGCTTGATGTGAGAGATTGATACTGGAAGTAAAATAACACAGGAAAAACCATTTATATTTAATAAACATATTACCAAAGTCATTGAGGGAGTCTTAGGAAAATTAATTTTGTTGGGAACATCTGCAAGGAGGAGTCCTCCTAACTTCAACATAGTTCTGTTTCTAAGCTGCCAAAGAAAGTCAAGGAAAAAGTATACCTGCACTTACATATTGTCATAATTCCAACCAAAATTCCAACCAAAAATTGCACAAAATTGTGTCTGAGGTAAGACCAGTTATCTCAATTTAGATAATGATTTCTTTAATGTCTTCTGGCTGCAGGGTTTCTTAGTGGAATCCTTTTTTTTTCCCCAAATAACAATCAGTTGTTTCAAAGCCAGTGTGTAATATACACATGGTTGTGCTAATTCTTTGAGATACTAGCTTCAAAGTCACTAACACCTGCAGCAATAATCAGAACAGCACAGTCAGCCTGACACATCCCTGTAATTGTGTTTTTGATAAAACCTCTGGATCCTGGGGCATCAGTGATGGCCAGCAGCCCTTGGTGGGTTCAGATATCCACAGGGAGGTATCAGTGAAGTTACTCATGCTTAACCTTCAGTATAGCCCCAACCTTCGTGTATTTGAAAGATCCCTTTCTCATCTCAGCAGCTTCTGTTCTGCTCCTCAATAGTTCTCTTATCAGGTCTCATTAGTAGATACATGTGTCTGTAGATCATGAATATATATGTGTGAATATATGCGTCTAAAGGCTATATTGTGGATAGGTCTTTTCCTTTCCCATTCTAGCTTGAACTTACAGTACCTGTGTTATGGTGACAAACTTGCTGCAAAAAAAGTTCTGTTTTAATGTTAATGCTTGTTCAGTATTAGTGGTTCCCAGACTTACAGATTTCAAAGATCAGTAACATTTCACAACAATTTTGGAAACTGACATAGGGTTCCCAGGTCTATATTTTGACAAGGAAAGATTTTCTCTTTTTTTTTGCGGTACACGGGCCTCTCACTGCTGTGGCCTCTCCCGTTGCGGAGCGCTCCAGACGTGCAGGCCCAGCGGCCATGGCTCACGGGCCCAGCCGCTCCGCGGCATGTGGGATCTTCCCGGACCGGGGCACGAACCCGCATCCCCTGCATCGGCAGGCAGACTCTCAACCACTGCGCCACCAGGGAAGTCCAAGGAAAGAAATTTTTTAAACCTATTTACTCTTACCATCCTTTCATAAAAGTGAAATTTCAACATCAAAGAAAAATTGATATATGTATATGTGTATGGCAATGTTTTGAACAGGTTGAGAAAAAATAAAACATTTTGACCTTATTTTTCTCATTTTACCTCAAAGTTTTGTCATTCTTGGCATTGTCAGCAGAGACTAGTTTGGTGGAACCACTGGTATGTGTTATTATCCTTACTACATACCAAGTTATTATACCTTACTATTTTTTTAATAATCTGGAACACGATTTAGGGGAGGTCTAAATAATGAAAGATAAGAAATTGTTTTACAAAGAGTCATTTGCACAAATTGGATTTTGTTCATCAACTTGCCTACTTATTCCTTAATATGTTTTTTTTTATCATTCAGCATGTATGCTCTATACAATTCATAACACGTATGATGACATTGAAAATAAAGTGGTCGCAGATCTAGGATGTGGCTGTGGAGTGCTTAGCATCGGAACTGCAATGCTGGGAGCAGGGTATGTGATCCAGTACATACTATTTGGGTATGGGATGGTTTTAATAAGAAGAGTAAATAAAATCAACTGACTTATATTTATGGGACTCTATAGTGTGAGATGAGAGGAGCAAGAATCTAATACTGAGTACATTTAGAATGGGCAGAACATCAAAACAAACTAAAAAAAGAAACAACAACAAAAAACAGTAACAGCAGAAGTCATATGCCCCTCTTTTATATGAACCTGAGTTTCCAACCCTTGACAGTTTGGGAAATCATGCTGTTAAAAGACAACACTCACTGTCACTTGGTCAGTTGGGTTAAAAAGGTACATGGTTTTGGTTTTGTTGTTGTTTTGACTGGGGAGCTTTAAGTAGTAGTCACTTTGTGTTTTATATTTATAGGTTGTGTGTTGGATTTGACATAGATGAAGATGCATTGGAAATATTTAATAGGAATGTAGAAGAGTTTGAGTTAACAAATGTTGACATGGTTCAGTGTGACGTGTGCTCATTATCTAACAGAATGTCCAAGTCATTTGATACAGTAATTATGAATCCTCCCTTTGGGACCAAAAATAATAAAGGTTAGTAAGAAGAATCATGTGTACTGGTGTCTTTGTGGAAAAGCAAGTTTTAAAAACCATTTTCTCATTGATTATTTGGGTTAAGTGATTTTATCACTGTTTATTAAATAAACCAATCTCTTACCTGTATAGTTATTACAGTTTGAATTTCAGTTTGTTTAATGCATGGCTAGGGAATTGAATTTTTCAATCTTTGTTTTCATAAGTTTGTGCTAAGTGAACAAATTTATCCACTTATTACTTATTCTTATCTGCTTTCTAGAATGATTTACCTAACCCTTATGAATGAGTATGAATCCCATAAAGGCTTTTATATTTTTAGAACCTCTTTTTAATGTCTCAACATTTGAAGGTTTCAACATGTGTCCATCAGTAACAGTGATTCACTGTGGCTATTTATTTTATGTATTTTGGGGGCAAGGAGGGTAAGAAGTCAGTAAGAAGAGGAAAAGACATGCAGTTTTAAAAGTCCTCCCTCCACCTGCCCCCACCATTCTGATTACTACTTTACTTGTTTGCTTCTGCCCTCTTTGAAAGTTGTTAATTTGGAATATAATATTAAAATTTTTACTTTAGCCTTATTTAAATGGGACAGTATAATTCTGGTTTTATTCCATCAACCTTAAAAGATATTTAGATATCTTGGTTATTTGTACTCTGTCTTGTTACAGAATTTGAAATGGCTATTTTGGAGTTTGGAAAAAAATGTTTCTAAATACCTAGTATTCCTTTAATCTTCTATTTTGATAACAGGTATATAATGTAAATAGGGGCTTTTTCTACTCTTAACAGGGACAGATATGGCCTTTCTGAAGACTGCTTTGGAAATGGCAAGAACAGCAGTATATTCTTTACACAAATCCTCAACTAGAGAAGTAAGTTCAAATCATCACAATATTCTGTGTCATTTATTTTTAAATTCATGACAGTATTTTAAGGATTTACTGTGAATACTAAATACCAGGGTATCTAATTCTCCTGAACTTTTAAAACATCTGGCACTTAGAAAATAAATTTTCCCTTTAACTAGCTAGCATTTGTGATTAGCTTTATTTTGTCAAAGGTTTGTTCAGGCAGGAGCTGTTAACAGGAGAGTGATTATATAATTCAGGAATAGAGGAGTAGGTGTAACGGTGGTTCCAGTATGTCCTTGTTTGCCTGTGTAAGCCCTGGTTGGTGCATCCCAGTGTCCTGGTGTGGCCTGGTGTGCATAAGGGAGGCAAGGGTGGCCTGGTTTTTCAGAACACTGAGCCTGGGAGGCTAAACTGATCTGAGTTCAGAACCCACTTCTTCCATTGTTCTTCACTATCAGCACATAACACATAAGGCTGTGTAGGATGTATTCCAGAAAATTGGGGGTGGGGCGGTACCTTTTTTTAGTGTCAGTTTAACATAGTGATCAAGAACAGAGACTATAGAGCCAGCCTACCTAGATTCAAATCTGAACTCTGCTGCTTCCCAGCTGTCTTCTCTTGGTCAAGGTACTTGAGTTCATTTTCGTCACCTACCCTGTACTCACCTATACTCACCTATACTCTTACATCATGAGGAACTAAGAGCACCTTATACTTTGCAGGGTTGGTGTGAGGATTAAATGAGTTAATATTTATAAAGCACTTAAATAGTGTCTGGCAATTGTCATGTTAGCTGTTATTTTAAATCAGACACGTATTAAGAGATTTTAAAGTAGTTTTGTAGGAAAAATATTTTATTTGTATAAATGCAGTGTACTTGAATTCAGTTGGAAACAAATTATGAATATATGGTAATCTAATAACCTTTAAAAATATATAAAATTACATAGCTAAAAATATATACAGGCATACCTTGTTTTGCCATTTGCTTTATTGCATTGTGTAGATAATGCATTTTTTACAAATTGAAGGTTTGTGGCAACCCTGCATCAAGCAAGTCTGTCAGCACCATCTTTCCAATAGCATTTGCTCACTTTGTGTCTCTGTGTCATGTTTTGGTAATTCTTGCAGTATTCCCAACTTTTTTATTATATTTTTATGGTGATCTGTAATCGTTGATATTACTATTATAATTGTTTTGGCATTATTTAGCAATAAAGTATTGCACACTTAATAGACTACAGTATAGTGTAAACAGAACCTTTATGTGCACTGGGAAACAAAAAATTCAGGTGACTCACTCTTGTGATATTCACTTTATTGTGGTGGTCTGGAACCAAACCTGTAATATCTCTGAGGTATGCCTGTATACTGTTAAACAATTAGTAGTGGTACCTGCAGGTAAGGAGCAGAGCACAACATGACTTTACTGGTAAATAAATCCCCATTCAGTAAGTGAAAACAAACACCAGGAATTATTGGTATCTAAGAAGCCTGTGTTGAGGAAGTCCCCAAGATCATCTTCAGGTTTGATGATTCACAAGGAAGTCTCATAGGACTGAGCATATCATCATACTCTTGACTGGGATTTATTATAGCTAAAGGATACAGAGCAAACTTAGCAAAGGGAAAGGTGCATTGGTCACAGTCCAGGAGAAACCAGGTGCAAGCTTCTAGAGTTCTCTCCCAGTGAAGTCATACAGGATGCACTTAATTCTTCCAGCAAAGAAGTTTTGTGACAAGGCATGTGAAATGTTGTCACCCAGGGAAGGTCATTGGAATCTTGGTGCCAAGGGTGTTTATTGGGTACTCATCACATAGGCACCTCCTGCCTGGCACATACCCAAATTCCAGACTCCCAGTAACAAAACAGGTACTCACCATAAACATTTTAAGCACAGTGAGCCACTATTATTAACGGATGGGGAGTGGAAACTCTCCCAAAATCTAAGTTCCCATACTCTAGCCAAAGGCCAAACTTAACATGTAGACCTTTCTAAGGATAAGCAGTCAGGCCTGCTATGAACTCTTCTGCAGTTTGGCATAACATAAATTTTATATTACTGATATACAGTTCATGCAAACCAAGTAAAATATGCCAATAAAAAGTGCAGTTAAGCAGCAAAGTCTAATTAATTGAATGAATTCCTGTAGTCAAGGAACTCCCATCTTCACTGTTTGGTATTGCCATGTTCCACCACCAGGAGGCAGCATATCAGCATTGTCCTGGATCCGCTTAATAGAACTTTAAGCAAATATTTACTTAAGTCCATTTTTATTTTGGCAGTGTAGAAGTATTTCCATTAGCACAGCAACTAAATAATTTGAGAAATTAATCTGGTGTGTATTGTGCATACTGTGAAGGAGGTATGATAATGAATGAACTTCTAATACTAAGACAGTCCTTAGTTTATGCTGTAGATATATCTGCTCTAAGCTTTGTGATAATTTTGCTTGTTTTAAGTATTCTATATAACTAGTAACATTGTTATTGAAGCTTACCTCAGACCCCTTAACTGTAGACCGTTGTCTTTTAAAAGTGCTTGGCCCTCTATTCATAATAGAGGTGCATTTGATAGAATTTTTTGATAGAAATACTTAGGTAAAATATAAGCATATCTTGGCAGATATGTTAATAATCTGGATGACTCTTACGGCTGTTGCCATATCTTCTTTCATTAGGCATTGTGAGAATTTAGTTCTTGGCTTATAGTTAAAGCAAAGTAGGTAGGCCAGGCACTGTTCTTTCAGTGTTTATCCCAAGCTTACCCCATTTATTCTTTGACATCTCTGCCAGAACCAACCACATTCCATTGTATAATCTAACATCTAAAACCTCTTTCACTAATCTTAGGGCTCAGATAGCAGAGAAATGTCATCATACTTTATTTCTCAAAAATTTACCAAGATCCTAGTATTCCATTAAATTACAATATTATTTGTATTAAAGTCTGTATCCTTATACAGAAATTTTAGATCTCAAAGTAGGGGGAAAAATATGCCCAGAACTGGGATTATTTATTAAATTCAAGAACAGACTACAAGCACAAACATATTGTCAGTATTGTTTATAATGGAAATATTTGAACCTCAAACATACGGATAATTGAGTATTTTATCAATCAGTTTGAGTACTGTGAACACTACCAACATGAACAAAATGCTTATACCAAATATTGCTATCTCTACTATGGTAGTTCTAAAAAATTATGCATAAAATTTACTTAGGGGATTATGGGCAACTTTTTTTTCCATTTTTATTAATGTTGGAGTGTTGTGTATATATTTTAATTCATAAAGCAATTTTTATAACAAATTAGTAATCAAAAATTTTATGAAGTAGTTTAAAATTCTTAGACCTATAAATAGCTAACATTTAGTACTTGCTCTGTATGCCACCACAGTTCAAAGCACTTTTCACATTCTGCAACAATCTGATGAGATATCATTATCATCCTCATTTAACGGATGAGGGAACTGAGGCACACAAAAAATGCCGTAATTTGCTCAGGGTTACATAGCTAATAGAGCTTCAGTTCAAATGCAGGCTGTCTGGTTCCAGAAACCATGTCCTTAACCTCTGTACCATACTGCCACTGAATTGCTCATGGACATAGATCTCTGCTGAATGGTTTCTAGGATACCTGTATATATTGATGAAATAACGCTGCAGAAACCATGAGTACATTATTTACTTTGATGCACTTCTGAAATAATAGCTTTATTACTTGAATTTAATTATGTAATTTGGCTCAGATCATTAAATGGCTTGGTTTTGTATTTTCAAAATATTCATCCAGTTGAAAAAATTTTAATGAAAATTCTAATTTAAATTAAATTAAATTCTAAATTAAATTAAATTCTAATGAAATTTTAAAAGCTTGAAAATCAAGTATTAGTAAAAAGCAATTTTTAAAAAACATTAAAGATCAGCTCACATTAACGTGTTATTTTATGTTCAGCATATTCAAAAGAAAGCTGCAGAATGGAAAATCAAGATAGATATTATTGCAGGTAAGACAATTATGTTTCTCATAAACAAATCTCAACCCTAATTATCTAAGAAGGCCAACAGGCATTAGCCTAACCAGAATTTTTACATGTGCTGAGAAAAGATATTGTAGAACATGTATTTTAGTGTGGCAAAATGTGTGTGGTTGGTAGTGGGTTGGAAACAGAGTAAAGGCAGGGTATCAATGTTTGCCCAAGACTGTCCCAATTTATGCATTTTACTGAAAATTTTTAATGGCACCCAAGTATTTGTTCTTTCCAGGCTCAGACAGAACCTTATAATCATCACAGTGACTTAAGAGCTTGGGCTTAGAGTTTGTCAGGCCTTAGTTTGAAATTCATTCCTGGAAAATACCACCAGATTATGCCTGGATTACCCTTCTATTTCAACTTTCTAATTGTCCCTGGAGTCAAATAACATGAAGCTTTTAATTTTTTTAGTGGGGGATAGAATATCATCAGCCACATGATGTAAATCATGTTTGGTACATTTTTATTAGTAAACTGGATAATATTCACAAACATCAGAATGGGAAAAGCATGTAACTAGAAGCTAACTATAATCCAAGTAATTCTGAAAAGCCTGAAATAAGAGTACAATAAGGGGGAAATTATTTTACACAATGATAAACTGACTGGATTAGTACTAATAGTGTTAACCACATAACTAGATCTATTGCCTTCATAATAATTAGTAATGTAATGTGTAAAAGTCTGTCTTCCTAGTATATTCAGTATTGTCACTCCTTACCTAGTTTAAGGTATTATAATATGCAACATGCAGACCTTAGAACAGTTCCAGTAGTAGCACACCAGGCCAGAGCCTTGCTACTCCAAGTGTGGTCCTCAAATGTGGACCATCAGCATTGACATCCCTTGGGAGCTTGTCAGACTTGAAGAATTTCAGGCTGCACCCAGACCTACTGAATTATAATCTGCATTTGAACAGGATTTGATTTGATTTGAAGGTGATTTGATTGCACATTAAAAGTTGAAAGCTGTGATTTAGAGAGTTAGAATTTGTTGCAAAATATGAAGCATAGGTAGGTAGACTTACTGCCATCCCTCTAAAGTTGATCAGTGCTAAGTTTTGAGAACCTACATTATCCTTTAGAAGAAGAGAATATGAAAAGTGGTTTTTCATTTGAGAGCTCAATAGGAAAATAATTAGCTACTTACTACCATTACTAAAATCCAAACCGGAAATTTTTAAAATAAGCATGGTTGTTGTGCAATTGGTAGCTATAGATTATTTAGGAAATTAAAAATAGGAAGATACTATCATATTTTCATGGGATACACTTTGACCACTTGTTAACCTTCTATACTCTTCCCCATAATCTCAAATTTTGATATAAATGACCAAAACAAATGCCAGGCTGTTTGCCATGGCTTATTGTGGGGATATATCAAATCAGTCCTAGATAAATTAAGTGACAGCTCTGAAATGTCTGGCTTATCAGCATTTAGTACTTCCTTAATTTTTTTCTTTTTTTTTTTTTAAGTCAAGGGCGGTTAATGTTTGGAAGTATAATTTTTACCCTTAGGTGGCTTTTGTTTTGTAGAGCTACGATATGACCTGCCGGCATCATACAAGTTTCATAAAAGAAAATCAGTAAGTCTCTTGATTCTAGTTTATCTACATTCAGTACTGAAAAACTTCACAGTAAGTAATTATTTCTAATGTTATCAAGTTGTTTGAGTGAATACAGAAAGCCAGCCTAGAAGATAAATACTTAACTCTGGGATGGGCCTATAACCACAACAACCAATATGCTGGTTTAAGATAAATTCTCAAATACTTTGGGCACAAAAATAAAAAATAAACTAATTTTATTTTTATGCAGTATACATTTTATTACTTTGTGCTAATACATTCTCATATTACAAAGGCAATTTAGTGGAAGGATGTTTCTTTTGATATTTGAATAATCTGAAAGAACACAAACAGAATTATACATAAAAAAATACTCATTTTGATAACAATAACAACCACAAAAAAAGACAAGTTAAACAACAAAAAAATTTTCCTTTCTTACAGGTGGACATTGAAGTGGACCTAATTCGGTTTTCTTTTTAAAAGCCTCCAGAGACAAAAGCAGCTTAAAATCTAATTAAAATGAATAAAAAATGTTTACTAAATTACTGGTCTCCGGCACCATTTTCTGTTTTCTGTTGTTTTGATGCAGGTTCTTCTTCTTTGTCTGTTTCTTCTCTTGCTCTTTTCACTGGTCCTATACAATGACAATTAATTTTCATTAAGTTCACTGTAAGCATTACTCTATTTTAATACTAAGCATAACTATAAAAAATAATTGTTTAAACAGATTAGCAACAACTTTCCTACACCAATGAGAAAACGCTTTTCCTTTAGTACGGACCTGGCTCTCTAAACTTAGCTTCCCAACATCTTTGTTTTCCACATGTAAAATAGCATAACCAGGGTCAATCACAATCTGAGAACATCACTTACACAGAAGTTGTAAAACCACATTGCTGTTCTCTCACACAAATAATTTCTCATCAAAGTACCAAAGGACTTAAAAAAACTTACTAGATGCACCATTTTCATCATGTTCATCATCACTGTCAAATTTAGTTTTCTTGCCCTGAAACTGTACTTTTCCTTTAGCAGACCCAATCTGGGCAGCTTTATTTCCCTTTCCTTTTCCTTTAAATCTGCGACCTGTAGAGACAAAATTGAGAAATCCGTAATGTTTTAAACCTCTCGTCAATGTCTTTTACCACCAATTAAAATTTTTACCCAAGCAAATGAGTTAAATAGTCAAAGAAAATCAGAATTAATGACCTTTTGACTTCCATTTGTTTAGGGATTCTTGTTGATCTTCTATTATTTTTTTCAATGCTTCTTTTTCCACATCTCCTTCTAGTACTTCCCAGGTGACCTCTTTGTTCCTTAATTGTAGGTTACCATTATTTGCATCTTTTGCTTTATCCAGTGCTTCCTTAGCTTTTTCTTTAAACAGAATTATTCCCTACACCAAAGACGGAAAACAAAGGCCAGGGAATTTTACTGAACATCAGGAAGTTATTAAAAAACTTGAAGTCACTAATTCCAACAGTTATTTATAGCACAATTCAGAAAATATCAGACATCACATCCAGTTACAGCAATAATAAAACAAAGTAAATAACCAAGTGGAAACTATTTTCATAAACATACTAACAAAAAATTGCTTTCTTCTACTAATGTCATCTTCTAAAAGATAAGTTTCTATGAATTTTTAAACTGAGTGGTTAAGAGCATATGAATATTTCCAAACCTCTTTGGCTCCTCTGACAAAGTCTATCCATTTTATTTCACCATGATTTGAGAAAAGGATATGCAAATCTTCTCTACACGTCTGATCATCTAAGTCCCCCGAGAATTTCAGCAAGCAGCCAATCTTTTCTTCTAGAGATTTCTATAAAAATATATAAGGTGATAAGTTTCTTAAAAGCAACCACAAACCAGAAATGGCATATACCTCCCTCTCCCTCTCTCTATACATACATATATATACACACACACACACACATACATACAAGGAATAAGCTAGAAACTAAAATGCTATTTTGAAGTAGTGTAAGTTTAAATAGTTTAAGTAGTTGGTGCATTTTCCTTTATCATCCTTTGTTCTACAATGGCTTCTGATTTTAACTTCTCCAGCAAATAATAGTTATTATATAAATCTTACTGCGCTGAATAAGTAATAATTTTAGGCAATATTTGGCTAATACTTCAGTGCTATGACAACTGTAGACTTGCTTACATATGTTCTTTAAAAAGTCCCCAGGTTTTTTATTCTCCTAAATTTGAATTACAGATTTCTTAGTAATATATACGTACCATTTCAGCATTTTCTGCTAACTTTTGTTTTTCTTCTTGCTCTCTACAAGTAAAAATATCATTAGAACGTTTCCATTTACTTCATGTATGAGAAAATTAAACCCTGATAAAGTTAACCTTAATCATGATGACTAAACTACTTAATAACCAAAGCCAGTCCTTAGGCTTTCTGACTGTCTGATGCCAGAGTGCAACACAATGTGGCCCCAAGATTATCAAGGCAGCTTAAGACCTCAATGTTTCATTAGCAAAAGAAAGGCCTACTGTACTCATTTCAGAGCTCATCATCAGCCTCACCTCCCAGAACCAGTAACTTTACCTGTCAAAGCTTTAAGGAACTAAAATGTTATGATTAGCTCAACATACTTACTGTTTAGCTCGTAATTTAGCTTCGATTTTATTTTGCTTTCTTTCTTCATTTTTTTTTGCAAAGTAATCTTCCCTGAAGGACACAAAATATAAAGGCTAATAAGTTCATGAGAACAAAGAGGACTGCAAATTATATTGAATGATTTAAGACATCGCACAAGAATGAATGTTACATTCTCTATCAACAAAATTACCTATAAGTTCAAAATACATTATTTTTTAAAATAACAGCTTTACTAAGAAAGAATTCACATGCCATAAAATTCATTCTTTTAAAGCATATAATTCAATGACTTTTAGTATATTAAGAATTGTACATCATCACTACTAATGAATTTCAGAACATTTTCATCACCACAAAAAAGAAACCCTATATTCGCTAAGAATCTCATGCTGATTTTCATTTTTCATGTATAGAAAAAAGAAAGTATACCAAAAGTTATGCAACTAATTTGCTTCATAGTTTTTTAGTGTTAATTTCACAAAAGCAAAAATTCTGAAATCCCTGAGACCCAAGAATAAGAGCAGTTATGAAAATCACAAGTTAAAAAAATCTTTGAGTTTAACACTGACAGCATGATTTATCACTGTGCATCTCTAAGTCCATCAGATTTAGTATACAGCATTTAGAAGACTGTGCAATGCAAAAGTAGGGGATTATGGCCCCACAACCATATCATGAAAATGTCCTGGTTTGTCCTAATTTTTAGACACACACACAGGTGCGCACACACACACACCAAGAATGTGATTCAAATCTCTATTAAATAATCCTTTGTACTGTATAAAAATACAGGCATATATAGATTACGAGAATAGATAAAAAAATTGTACAGTGATTTATTCTCTAACCACACCAAAAGCTCAGATTTTATCATCAAGCTTAACTATAAGTTTCACATGCAAAATAAGTACTAAAACTTAACCTCCCTTATTACGTGCTTGAAAAGGTCCTAACACTTCCTTACAGTCTCAAAGGACTAGTAGTTCCAGTGAGCAAACTTCAAGCATTTCTCAAAGGATGCCTAAGGATACTAAAAATACTGGTCTTACTGTAGGGAATGTTATGCTATACTCCTTACCCCAGTGTGTCAATTCCAGACAACTAAGTGGCCAAAAAAAAAAACATCAGCAAGTTGACTTACTTGAAAAGTATTAGCAGGTCTGTGTCTTTGTACTTCTGGCCAGTGGTCTCAACAAACTTCTTAGCAGATTCAATGGTATCAAATACAGCAAATATTGATCCCTATTAGAAGTGGAAGAAAAGTTGGGGTTTTTTTTAAAGTTACATCCCAAGTATCTTTCTACTAGAAAATGTCTGTTACATCATACAACCATACCTTAAATGCTTTGTGCAATGTTCTTCTCATCTGAATATTTAGTACCTGACCTTTATCTTCCAACCATTCTTTTATGTCATCAAGGGTTGCATCAATTGGGAAGCCTTTCTGTGAAGAGTAGGAAGAAATGTACAAATGACAACTCAAGTAAACGATTTGTCAGAAATTCTGATTTATTTTGTCTTGAAATGAAGCGAGGATATATATATATCTCTTTCTCTGTCTCTTAAATGTTTAATAGCTCTGGTTAAGAGCCATTGTTGACCAGTGCAATAGAAGTGACTCGTTTATCTGGGATTCACTTCAAAATAATCCAGATAGGCCAAAGATAAAACAAGATTAATCACGTTAGTAACTGTTGAAGTTGGATAATGGTACATTATATATTCAATCTACTTCTGTATGTCTGAATTTTTGCAGAATAAAAAAATCTACTTAAAAATTAATGTGCTAAAGAAAACAGCTAACAAGTTTAGCTGTTGATAAGTAAGAACAGTTGATGTGCACTGGGTACTTACAATATGTATGTCAAAAGATTTTGTCCAATGTTATACGGGTTTTTTCATTTAATTCTCACAGCAGTTCTATAAGGTAAAAAATATTATCCCCATTTATGAAGATAAAGCTTACAGAGGCTAAGAATATTGCCCAAGGATATACAGTAAGTGGTGAAGCTATGATTCCTGAGCCCTTATTCTTATCCACCCTATGTGCTTTCTAAATAAATTTAAGATATAATTAAATGCATTAAAGGCCCACTTACAATATAAACAGATCTGTTTTTTACATCATTTTTATACTCATCAGTCACTTCAGGGAGGGGTTTGCTTGGAGATCTTCTAATTTTAGTTTTATCTTCACTTATTTCCATAAGTTCCGCCTTTGATTTGCTCAATGCTTCTACTATTACATTAAAGTCTGTTGTTAGACGGTTTAACCTGCAAAAAAATATATATAAAAGCATTGTAAAACTTAGTAGTAGCACTTGCTGTTAGCAGAAAATCTTATAATTTGAAAAAGGTTTTTACCTATTAAATTTTATCATTATCTCCAAAGGTACCCAGCCTTCATCCAGTTTGATCTGTTCCTTTAAAAATTTGTCGCGTGGCAAATTGAAGTCACCAAAATAATACTGCAAGATAATTACAGTATATTGCAGAGCACTGTATAATATTGAGTATAAAAAATTACCATTACATCACCAAGTCCTAGTCTTAAAAATACATGTCAAAACTTAACTGGTGGGACTTCCCTGGCGGTCAGTGGGTAAGACTCCACGCTCCCCATGCAGGGGGGCCAGGTTCAATCCCTGGTCGGGGAACTAGATCCCACAGGTATGCCACAACTAAGAAGTCCCCATGCCACAACTAAGACCCGGCACAGCCAAAATAAATAAATATTTAAAAAAAAAAAAAACTGGCAATAAACATTTTCTCTTAAATACACTGTAATATTTATAATACATATTAACAGAAAGATAAAACTAAAAATAATTATTGAAACAATATATTTAGCAGATGTGACAATAGATTAGAAAGCCTTAAAACAAAAACATATTTAAGGATTTGGTATATGAAAAGCCTCTTATTTCAAGTCAGTGTGAAAAGAACAGATTGTTAAATTTAAGAAACTAGAATAATCTGATTAGTCACTCTAACTTTTAAAAAAATAGAAAAATTTAAAAGTTAAAAAATTAGGTAAGCTGGGACGAAGTGAGAGTGGCATGGACATATATACACTACCAAATGTAAAATAGCTAGCTAGTGGGAAGCAGCTGCATAGCACAGGGAGATCAGCTCGGTGCTTTGTGACCACCTAGAGGGGTGGGATAGGGAGGGTGGGAGGGAGACGCAAGAGTGAGGGGATATAGGGATATATGTATATGTATAGCTGATTCACTTTGTTATACAGCAGAAACTAACACACCATTGTAAAGCAATTATACTCCAATAAAGATGTTAAAAAAAAATTGGGTGAGTATTTACCTAATTTAAGCACAGAGGCACTCTTCCTTAGTATAAAAACAAAGAAAAAAGTATACATGAAAAAGCCCAGGTGTGACTACTTGGAATGCCAAAAGTAGCATAAAAAGTAAAAGACAAACACAAAAGCTTATTAATACTTCTTATAAATCAACAAAGAAGAAAAAAAACCTCTGAAAACCCTAATAGAAAAATGAGTAAAGGACACTTTTGTTTTGGCCACACCACACTGCATGCAGGATCTTAGTTCCCCAACCAGGGATGGAACCCGTGCCCCCTGCATTGGAAGCATGGAGTCTTAACCACTTGTTTGCCAGGGAAGTCCCAGTAAAGGACATTTTTTTTTAATTACTAAAAATAAAAATGTACTATAAACATTAAAAAGTTCAAGCTCACTATTAAACAATAAATGCAATTTAAAGCAATGAAAAGCATTTAGCCAAAACTCTAAAGACAAGAATACCCAGTATTGGCCTGAACACAGAGAAATGGTCATGCAGGTAGAGATGTTAACTGGCAGTAAGTATCAAAAATCAAAAGTTCTGGGGGCTTCCTTCCAGTGGTTGAGAGTCCGCCTGCCGATGCAGGGGACACGGGTTCGTGCCCCGGTCTGGGAAGATCCCACATGCCGTGGAGCGGCTGGGCCTGTGAGCCATGGCCGCTGAGCCTGAGCCTCCGGAGCCTGTGCTCCGCAACGGGAGAGGCCACAACAGTGAGATGCCCGCATACCGCAAAAAAAAAAAAAAAAATCAAAAGTTCTAAAAAAACATGTATAACCCTTGAGGCAGTACATCTCCCTCTAGGAATTTTATCTTAGAGAAATCAATAAACATGTTTAGTAACATTTATATATAAAGATATTCATCGTAGAATTACTACAGCTAAAAAATTGGATATGTCCTACATATCAAATAGGGGATGGTGTAAATTACTGATGATACAAAACTACTCCCCCATAATGCATCCTATGTTTGGTGGGGGGAAAAGGGAAAAAATTATGTTACTGTGAGCACTGACCAATTTGTGAAAAGGTATTTATCAGGCTTTTAACCTTGATTACCTCAAGAGGGTGAGATTTGAGAGGTGGCAGGTTGTGGGACATTATTAACTTTTTCTATATACAGTTTTCTTCACAATTATAAAGAAATTAATTTAAAAAAAAAGCTGTAACACAGGAAATTTAAAATAACAGAGAAGTGCAACTTTGAAAAAGTTCTGAGAGTTGCAAAAAAAACACCAAACAATATGATCTGAAGTTCCTCATTAAGAATATAAAACATAAATTAAGAGATAATTTCCCATGTAGCCATTACTGATACTGTAAAGCACCAACTTAAATACAATACCTAAATTCAAAAAAAATGTTAAGAGAAAACAGATACTCTTAAAAGTTACAATGGCTGAGACTTCCCTGGTAGTCCAGTGGTTAAGACTTCGTCTTTCAATGTAGGGGCTGCAGGTTCCAGCTAAGATCCCACATGCCTCACGGCCAAAAAACCAAAACATAAAACAGAATATTGTAACAAATTCAATAAAGACTTTAAAAATGGTCACATCAAAAAACAAAAACAAAAAAAAAAACACCACCAAAAACAGAAAAACCCAAAAAACAAACAAACAAAAAAACACCTTTAAAAAGTTACAATGGCTGAGAACACCTAATTGGGCAGGAAAAACTACTAGGACCTGCAAGAATAAAGTGCTATTTAACAGGGAAGGTATTTTACAAAGGATTTTAAAAATTATTTTACTATGTGCTAGGCACTATTCCAAATGTTTTACATTTTGTGAACTAATGTAACCCTCACAACCACCTTATGAGGAGGGTACACTATTATCCTCGCTTTACAGACTAGGAGAAAAAAGTTAACTAACACTATAGTGTTACCTTTTGAAATGTCTTTGTTCTTGAGTTTCAGAAACAGGCTCCACCAATATAAAACTGTATACTACTGTATGTTTATCTAACTCCAAGAATCAAAGACAAACCAAAAGTTCAATAGATCAATATACTGAAATTAAATGGTCTATCTGTATTTTTTTTGAGGCCCTAAATTTCCTCTCAAAGAGCCTGGTTTTGCAGTGTAATACCACAGGAATCATACCTCTATTTGATGACAGATTTTGGCCTCCAGAGCAGCCATTTTTTCATTATCACCATTTTCTGCCATTCTGGCTATCTGTAAAATTTCCCAAATTGGCATAAAAAAGTTATTTACTTTTTACGTAAAACTCAAGACCATTAAAAGAATGTTCTAAAATTATCAATATCCCACTGTTTTCCTAAAAATCAGTAATTTTTAATTTCATGGGTTCAATTTCTCTACTCAATTCTCAAATTTCAACAAAAGAAAACTTTGAAATTAGTGATGAAAATCTATGGATAATCCACACCCCTTCCAGTAAATCACTGTTCCATCTTCTATAACAAAGTGAGTGGTTATCTTCATTTAGCTGATCTAGAAAGAAAGCTTTGAGGGAAAAAACTCCATTCAACCACTTACCAATCATTACCAGGTTTAAGTAGATCATCATCTGTCAGTATATTACTGTGGATCTCAGTCTTGTTTGGTGTGGGCCGAATTTCGTTTAAAATTAGTCATAGCTGACTTACCAAAAACTTGTTATCAACAAGATTATGTATCAAAACTTTAAGGTAAAAAAAATTCAAACACTACATACAGTCAGGGTTAGATTAAATAAATGCTAATGATAAGGAACATAGGAAAATGATCATTTGAGAACCTGAGGACACTAATACATTAAACTGGGCGTATGCCTACTAATTTACTAATACATTGGTTAACCTTACAGCCAGTTTCCTGTTTCACATCCCTGACAATAGCATTGTAGGAAAAAATAAAGCTGTGAAGTTGGTTTGCTAGGGATAACAAAGTCTCCTGACTTCAAATTACTTGCTTCTAGTGCTCCGTTAAAACCATCCAAACACCGTGTACAACAGTATATTTAAAAGAATTCATCAAGGATATCTGCCATTAATTAACTCTAGCGATGAACTATGACTGGTACACTTCTTGGAAGCATGGCTTTACAATTTGTAATTGCTATGCAATACAACCTGGATGCACACTGGAAGCTCTCCTATGGTGCAACATCTCACTACAAAATTTGGCCAATCTTACGCTTTGGTTGTCGATCATAATTCCTAAGTTATTACTGTGATCTAGGGCCCCCTATAAAACAAAGGGTGAGATAAAAGACCTATTTAGTCTTTGTAAGACTTCTTTGGCCTACCCAATTTTGGAACTTCATGAGATACTTTCTCAGAATGTACATACAACTAGAAGTGAAATATTACCCTCACTTTCCAATTTCGCTCAGAAGCCTTGATGTGAGTGAATGAGGACCATTAAAACCCAAGAGTGTGACGCCAGGGGAACACCTGCGGCCCCGATTCCCCGGCCTCCAATCTGTCCCACACGATCCAAGGAACACTTCGGCGTTTAACCCACGTCGACCTCTCCAGAAACATACACAGTCTGACAGAAACATCCGCTTTCGGCGACACTGGAAAGCGGTGGAGGTACGAAACCTTAAAGACGCAGTGGGGATGCGGGCAGCCTGGGTCCAAAGAACCCGCCACAGCCCGTCCCAAAGCAACCCCTCGGTCGCCTGTGCCCCAACCACGTGCGGGGGAACCCTAGCTCCTGTGAGGAACGCAGAGGCCGGCTCCCCACCTCGCGGCTGCCCGCGCCCCTCACTCCCCAGCCCAGCGCGCCGCCTCCGGCTGCGGCCCACGAGGCGCTCGCCCCGAACGCGAGGAAGGCGAGGAGCGCACGCAACCAGCGTGGGGCAGCAAGGAAAGGGAACGCGCCGTCGCGCACAACGCAAAGCAGACCCTTTTGTACCTTCTTTTTAGCCACCTGGAGTTGCTCACCTTTAAGTTCCCGGTCCCACAGAGACGCGCCACAGGGTCACTAACAGCGACACCGACGTCTCCTATCCCTAGCGCCGCCAGCTTGCCTAACGCGCCTAAAGAAGATGGGGGTTGTCCCGGCAGCCCTTGCGGCCAGGGTGGGCGGGGCTTCGGGCGGGCCCGAGCCGGCTCCGCGCTCTGAGCATGCGCTGCGGCCGCGGGCTCCCAAGGCCGGAGAAGTCCCGCCCTCAGTTCGAGGAGTTTGGGTTAAAACGGCCAGCGGGACCTTGGAGGATATTACGTTAAATATTTATTGTTAAGTATTTCTGGACAGAACTTGTATTTCCAGCCCTTCCTTAGGCTGTCCATTCACATGAAGTGGTTGACTTTTTTTTCAGATTATACTTCTAAAAAAATTGTTTTAATTATCCGTAATAGTTCCCCCTCAAAAAAATGACAAGTAAAATTTTTAAAAAGTGAAAAATTCATGGAATCTTAGAGTTGAGAAAACAATACAGTAGATCGTTTAAGAGCTGGAACTCTGAGGACTTCCCTGGCGGTCCAGTGATTAAGACCCTGCGCTCCCACTGCAGGGGGCACGCGGTTGGATCCCTGGTCCAGGTAAGATCCCGCACGATCCGCAGCCCCGCCAAAAAAAAAAAAAAAAAAAAAAGAGCTGGAATTCTGAAACCAGACTGCCTGCATTCAAATAACGGCTCTCCAGTTTACAGGCTGTGTGATCTTGGGCAAGTTACTCAACTTTTCTATCCCTCACATATAAAATTGGGCCAATGCTAAATATCTTATACCTCGTACCGTTGTCGTGAGCATTAAATGTGATACAACATATGTACCTTGCTGGGAACTGTGCGTGGCATATAGGAAGAGGAGCAGCATATATTAATTTAAAACAAACAAAAAACGTCATTTTAAAAAACTGAAAGGCCATCTAGTTCAGAAGCCTGTTGGTCTGCTAGAGCCGCCTTCTTTTTTTTTTTTAATCTTAGTTCCCCCACCAGGGATTGAATCCCGGGCCAACGGCAGTGAAAGCGCGGAGTCCTAACCACTGGACCGCCAGGGAATTCCCAAGAGCCCTTTTCTATTAGTATACTTTTTGCACAATAGTTTTAGTCACTTAAAGGAGTTTTTTTCTTGTGGTGAGGCAATCTTTTATTTTCCCCTGAGTTTTCTTGAAAATTTAAAATGGTATTGGTGAAATAGCCTATTAAGTGATTTCAGAGTTTTTTGGCAGTCCCAAAACAGATCAAATGAATTTATTTGGAAAAAAATTCAGTTATAGGTTCAATCCAGACATAACGTTAAGCCAATGAGAAAAAATTAATAGAGTTATGCTGAGGTAGTTTAAATTCAAATGAATCATGTTCTCTTTTATCCACTCAACAAATATTTATCTAGTCTCTACTTTGTACCAGACAAAATAAAAACTTAATTCACTTTTTGATCAAGTCAGTGAGAATATAGGTATTTAACAGGGCAAATCATATGCATGTCAGCGTATGCCCACTCAGCTGTTCAGCATAGTATTTACTACATGCCTACTAATGTCCTGGTGTGGAGCTTGGCAGTGGGAATGAAAAGACACAGACTCTGCCTAGAGACAGTGACACCTAAACAAATGACCCTGCTCCTTTTATGCCTGCACAATGTCTGGGTAGAACCACAGATACAGTCTGTTACCAGAAACCACTTACTGCAAAACATTTAGTGTTCCTGTCAGGTCCCTGATCCTTTACTTTCTCTTTCTTTTCTTCTCCTTTTCTTTCTCTGTCTCTGTCTCTATCTCTGTCTCTGTCTCTGTCTCTCTTCTAGGAGCCAAGCTCCATGCAGCCACCACCCTTTAGGGAAAATGGATTCCTGGCTGCATACCAGGAAGGTTCTTTTTTCAGATGAAGCATCAAGAAGACTCTCTCTCATGCTGATGTCCATCTCTTTAATAACATAACTTTGTAGGATAATATACTAAAAGACCTTCTCTTTGAGTGTAGATTTAGTAGAACTATTTTAGAGAGCAACTTGGTAATATCTGCTAAAGTTTATGATATGCATAGCTGATGGCCCCAAAGTCTACTCCTAAAAGTATATTCTAGGGAAATTTTTACATCTGTGCATAAGAAGACATGTTCAAGAATATTCATAGCAGCATAGTATATAAATGCAAAGAATTGGAAATCCATTAAATGTCCATCAAAAAAGAATGGGTAACTAAATTGCGGTGTAATTAAACAATGAAATAATAAACTATACAATGATGAAAACAAATAAACCAAAACTGCATGCATTAACACTGATGAAATTCACAAACATGATGCTGAGTAAAAAAAAAAAAAGTTTTAGAAGAAATATAAGTAGCACCCCTAGCCATTGTGGCAGTGAAAAATCCCCTTACATTTCTAAATACTAAGAGATGGTTATTGCTGCCCTTCCTCCAATATTAAGAACAATTAGTCAGGATAATGGCATTATTCTAGCTTAGTTAGACATTTAGTTTGAACTACTTGTTAGCCATCCAGGTAGAGATGTCAAGTGGACAGTTGGTAAATGAGTTTGGAACTTAGGGGAGAAGTCAGGGTTGGAGATACAAATTTTGGAGTTATTAGCATATAGGAGACATTTAAAGCCATGGCATTAGATGAGCTCTCTTAGAGAGAGTACAGACAGTGAAGATAAGAGGGCCCAAGACTGAACCCTCTAGCATTCCAACTTTTTGGATACTGGATAAAGGAAGAGAAGCATGTACAGGAACTAGAATAAGCACAGCCTGAGAGGTACTAGGAAAATATGGTGCCATAGAAACTAAAGGGGGAGGATGTTTCAAGGAAGAAATAATCAACTGAGTAAATTCTTCTGAGAAGGGTTGCAGCCTGACCAATTTTGTCATTATGGCAGAGACTGTTACTTATCCCCCAGTACTGGCTCTCCCCTTCCTCTATAATAATATCACCCCTGGGCTTCCCTGGTGGCGCAGTGGTTGGGAGTCTGCCTGACAATGCAGGGGACGCGGGTTCGCGCCCTGGTCTGGGAAGATCCCACATGCTGCAGAGCAACTGTGCCCGCGAGCCACAATTACTGAGCCTGCGCATCTGGAGCCTGTGTTCCGCAACAATAGAGGCCGCGATAGTGAAAGGCCTGCGCACCGCGATGAAGAGTGGCCCCCCCCTTGCCACAACTAGAGAAAGCCCTCGCACAGAAACGAAGACCCAACACAGCCATAAATAAATAAATAAATAATAATATCACCCCTGATTTTTAACCAAACGCATGGCCAATCAGAGATTAAAACTGCATTTTTTCCAGTCTCCCTTTCAGCTAAATAAGACCATGTCTGGTCAATGAGATGGAAAAGTGATGTGTGCAATTTCTAGGTCATTCTTAAAGAGACTGAGTTTGTTCTTTTCCCACTAGCTAGGTGTGGATGTGGTCATGAGCAAAATTGGACCAAGAAAATGAAGGCAACACCATAGGTATGGCAAAGCAGCAATAGAAGGGAGCCAAGTCCCTGACAGCCTAGAGTGTCATACCAGCCCTGATGGCCTCCTAGAATGGACTTACCATTAAACGAGATTTAAAAAAAAATAAATAAAAGCAATATTGCTAGATTTTTGGTCACAGTTAGGCAACAGATCTGTCACTAAGTGGCAGAATACTCAAATAAATCAAAGCTCCAGGCCGAGAGCACCACTCTGAGGCTGCTTGGCTTGTGCTAGACTTTTCTATTTTTGTGTGTGTGTAAGATGAATGTCAGAGTGCCTAAAAGCCAGAAATTCAGTGTCTCCCTGAGCTTTGGGAATGGGTTGTAGGACCGGTTTTTTGTCTTCCTGCTAATAGATATTCAAATGTATGACAGAATCTTGTCTGAGACCTGCCTTCATTGTAACAGATCACCTGAGCATGAGGTTCTTGGGGGGAAACCTAGAGCCCAATCCTATATCTGACAACTGGAGGCCTCTAATATTCCCCCCAATTATCTAATAATTGTGAGTAACCAAATTTTCTTGGGTCAATTTGCCACATTTGACCCAGTGAACAGGTTGGTATATACGTAAATTATAAGCAGACCTTTTATAGGCGACAACAAGTGGAAATTTATAAAACAGCACAGGTTCTGTACTAAGACTTTGTCTAAAATAAAATATTTGTGACACATAAAGGGAAAAAAGGAGTCTTTGGGGGGTAAACTTTAAAAAAAAACTTTTAACATTGAATTATAACATACAAACAGTGAAGTGCATGAATTTTAAGTGTATGGCTTAATGAAGTTTCACAAATGAACACTACTTTGTAACCACCACGCAGACTGAGATAGAGAACATTTTCAGGACTCCAGAAAGTTCCCTCTTCCAGTCAATAGCCTCCTTAAAAGTAACCAGGATAGATTAGCTTTGCCTGTTCTAGAAGGTCATGTAACTGGAATCATGTAGTAAATATATATGTCGTATATGTTTGTACCACAGTTGACTTACCTATTCTTCTGTTGGTGGACATTTGGCTGTTATGAATAGGCTTCTCTGAACACTCTTGTGCATGTCTTTCAGTAGATACATTCTGTGTGAACAAAATGAAATACACTCATTTTTGTGAGGTGTATAGTTAAGAGTGAAATTACTGAGTCACAGGGCAGACATGTGTTTAGCTTTACTATGAACTGCCAAATATAGCTTTCTAAAGTGGTCAGATCATTTTTCACTTGCACCAGCAATGTAACTGCTAAACATCCTAGACAACATCCTATCATTCTTTTTATTTTACTTTACTTTTTTGGCTGTGCTGCACAGCACGCGGGATCTTAATTCCCCGACCAGGGATTGAACCCAGGCCCTTGGCAATGAAATCTCAGAGTCCTAACCACTGGACCACCAGGGAATTCCCCTTACATTCTTTTTAATTTTGACCATTCTAATGATGGTGTGGTGATATCTCATTGTGCCTTTAATTTGCATCTCCTTGATGATTTCTGATATTGAGCACTTTTTATATGCTTACTTTCCATTTGGACATCCTCCTTTGTGAAGGGCCTATCACGTGTTTTGCCCGTTTTTAAAATTGATTTTTAGGAGTTCTTTACATAATCTAGATACAAATCCTATGTCAGATATATGTATTGTGAATATCCTCCCCCAG